TKWSTMMSRTKWKKCMMAWWYTTCAATAAAAACAATTTTTATATATGATTTAATCACGATAAATGTAATATTGTTATATGACCTATTATTTGTTTCATGACACATGATATTATCAAAAARTTTAAACTGCAAATTATAAAGTAAGTTATGACGACCCATACTTCRACATACCTTTGCATGATCCGTTCATWGATGGACACACAAAAAATAGATTAAACTGGTCAACGAGCTCAATCATACTTGAAGCTGTAGCCACAAACAAACCCTCTTTTACTTTTTTCCTGCAACAAAAAGACGCCCTTGACATAAATAATCTAAAGTACAGAGGGAGAAAATTAAGAGAAAACTTACTCAGATGTGTTATTATTTGCTGGTCGTTTCGCAGCTTTGGATGGGGGCTTGTATTCGAAGTCTGTATCCTCGCTATGAAGATGAAATCATAGAAACAAACATAAAAAAATGGGTTTAAAATATATTACATATGATATGAATTTGAACGCCTGTTTCACGTTTGATTTTTCAGTTTGATTTTAGAAGTAATAGCTGTCAAGTCTACTTTATATATACTTATACTTGCGAGATGTTTACACAATGTGCCGCTCTCAAAAATCGAAATTTACTTACTCAGTCCCACTTTCAGTTGGTTCTTTCGATGTAGGCTGGTAGTCTTCGTCCGATTCGTCACTGACATGGCTATCATGAGCCACGATAAACATTCAACGAAGAAGCCATGTATGAGTAATCCTTCTGTGAACAAACATATGTAGTAGGTGGCGTTGCCAGACAAAGGTCACAGTTGGCATATGATTGGTTTTCCCGGCAAAACAAAAGATTGCTATGATGCTTATTCCCTCTTTTAAATGAGTTTTTGTACAGTGACCGCTGTCAATAGGTATTAGAGACTTTAAGCATCGGCGGATTTTTCGACGGCTACGGAGAGATGGGTACGTCATCATGATGGTGCGCATGCGTAATTTTTCTAGGGCTTTCCCCACAGCCGTAGCAGCTTTGTCAACTACGGCAAAACAAGTCTCTTGGCGTAGTCGCTACTACGGCATTTTTAGGTAAGTATTTTTGGCATTATTTTGGCCAAAAAACYTTTAAATAGTTTACCACTTATAAAAAGACTTATTGCTTCATGTTTGTGTGAATGCACGATGTGTCTTCTGGATTAAAAAAGTGTTKTTTTTTTTCTGACAGGACTACTTGAACTAGTAAGCAATAGCTTACGTGCATAGCTTTAGAAGATGCAGGCAACAAACAACAAGTACATCTTAAAACCTTGTTCTTCCCCCATTCATTGCAGCATATATTGCGATAATTTATTAGAGAAAATATATATTTAGAAAGGTTTTGATTCATAAAATGTTCATTTTTACTTTTGTTTTAAGCTTAATGTTATTTTGCCTTAGGACTATTTTGCCTATTTTAGTTTTCGTAACTTTTTTCAAGCCGTCGAAATTATGAAAAGTTTGTATACTTTTTAATTCAAATTTCACATGTAATATGAAAGCATGTTATAATCCAATAGTGTTAAGTTAAATTAATGGCTGTGAGACAAAATTTCAACACGAAGAAATGTTGTTTTTTTTCGTCCAATGAATTACACACAATACAAGCCGCGAACACTTCACGAGTTTTCATTTAAATATTTCTATTGTATTACGAGTGCTTTTTGTATTTTTCGTGGACAACATTTGTGCTATTAGTTTTGTAGCCAACATTATCACACATACAAGTTTATAATACATATCAGTRGATACAAACATCTCAATAATAAAATATATTTTTGTTAAAAGATCTTTATTGTTGAAAAAAACAACAACAACAACAAATATGTCACCTTTGCGACAAAAACAAAAAAAAATGTAAATACTGCAGTGGCTATTACATTTGTATGTGATAGTTTAACTTACTAGAATCATTTTGTGGCTGACTTATATCAAGAACATATATTTGTCAAAAATTAAATCTTTCGAAGTTCATGATTTCATAGTTCTGTTACATGATATATAATACAATGCATTAGCAGATTTAAATTTAAAGTAAACCAAAGGTCTGTACGAGAAAGATTTGCATTGCTACAAAATAAATATCAACGTGAATTGAAACAGCAAGAGAAAGCCTCGGGAATTTCACCAGAGGAGACAGAGTTGGATACTCTCCTGAAAGAGATAACAGAAAAAGAAAAAGTGTTTGAAGAGGGACGAGAGGCTAACAGCAAAATGCATGTRGATCAAAGAGCACAAGGGGAMGAACAGAGGAGGAAAGCAATGGAAAGAATGAGCAAGAGAAAGACTGCATTGGAGACTGAAGGTGATGATGTTCAGAGAAAGAAACGAAGGTCAGGAAGTGAAACTGTGGAGTATTTAAGGGAGAAATCAGAGATTGAAATGAAATTGAGAGAGAAAGAGTTGGAACTAAAGAAGGCAGAGGCACAGGCTAAAACAAATGTTGATTCCAACAACCAAATGGTCATGATGATGCAATCCATGCAAAAACAAAACCAAGCCATGATGAATATGTTTGCAACCTTTCTTTCTAAGAACAAGTAGACAATCATACATTACAAATCTGGTTTGTTACTTTAATAACCCAAGTTGGGTACAAAAGAGCTTTATAGATATAGATTAGTTGACATATACTGTAATTTGCTTTGTATTCAAAGATTTATATATGCAATAAAAAATACATTTCTATTCTTTTCTATTTCTCTTCAATCATAATTCACTTTTTTTTTTCAAGTGCATTAATACATTGATCACTATATACATGTACTTGGCCATGTGCCTTTGTATGTAGACGAGTCATAGTTTATATATTAAAAAGCACAATTCTCCAGATAAATTTATGTGGGGACAAATTGTAAAGGGCTCATGTTTATATGGGATGGAATAAGGAGTACATGTAATTCTTTAAGGAATATTTTTGTGGGTTTAAAGCATGCCCTTTGCAATATGCCATATCTATACTGATATAAATGGAGTTTTACAGAAATTTAAAGAAATTCGTGGTTAAAGACAGCTTTTAAAGATGAATTTGTATTCTTATTTTGATTTGTATTCTTATTCTTTCTGCATATTTGTCTTTTAATGGTGTTTGCCTTTCAAATAAACAAACAATCAACTAACACTGACTTCATAGATATAGTAATAAGTCTCTTTATTWATATTATGCAAAATAATCCTGAATGTATGGTGGCTCAATATCAAAAAAATCAGAAGTAAGGTTACCATAAAGACAGGTAAGGGCATTTCGTAATAAGGCACAAACAATATACAGCTTCCCAACGCTGCTTAATTGAATCTTCCAATTCTTCTTAAAGTCCATAAATTTAAAGTAGTTGACAATATCACCGAACAACCACTCCACAGAGACTCGAACTTCACTCATACATTTGTTSTAGTCACGCATTTGTTGGTTCATATGGACTCCGTTTCTAAATGGAGCTTGAAGATGGACTCTGAGAGGGTACGCTGGGTCTCCATATATACACATAGGGCTACCAGCAGGTGAGTATGCATGTTGCATAAGTAGAGGCAGCAAACCAGAGTCTGCTAACATCCCAGCATCATGTTTCCGTCCTTCTGAAAATTAGATTATTATTGTTAAGTCCCCGGCTTGCAAATAGGCCAAACCGTGCCATCGATAAAACCAAAGCAACTAGATGATCACTGATCGTTTACATGGGCTTCTTCTAGTTTTTTTGATTCGGGGGACTAAACAATTTTCTATTCACCTACTCGTATCATTCACTGATTTCTGATGTTCTGACGGCTCATTTTCTGACACTCGAAAAGGTAAATCAATTTGCTGATCTTTTCTCGTGTTCTCCGAACCATCCCGCGCAGTTTATTTCGCCAGTAACCCCCTTCAAGCTATCGTTTGTTGCTTTGAGTAACAACATAGTTAGTATCTCTAACGGTAGCAAACAAATTGTGTAAGTACATAGTGTTTTAGTAAAAGAGCAAATCCAAGGCACGTAGCGTAGAAGTTTTTGTTAGTACGCACATGTCTGATGGATAGCGACAATACTGTGAAATGATAATTCTCGGATATGCGATTTCCAGCGTTTTAAGGGGCATCGAGAACATGAAAAGGCATTAAATCCCGAAATTTTTATATTTCCTTGCGACTAGTTCGCAGGTGCATATGTTTTGAGACAACAGTTTTGTATTTATATTTTCAAAATCATTTCTAGTAAGTTCTAGTAGGTTCTAGAATGTTTTAGTGAGCTAGTCATCTGGTTATCATTAAACACTACCTGTGGTTAGCATTTGTAAAACAATACGTGTTTTTGACATAGGTGTTGGCATAGGATTGTAAGACATCTTTTTGCAAACAACTTAGGTTATTCTTAGGTTTTCCACAATAGTTTGCTTAGATTAGTTGCGATTTGTGACCATCTTAGGTTTCACTCGATACAGTTGCTAAATCTTTCAATAATGTCGCTTTCCGACTAAGAAMCTAGATTGACAACATAATGAGATTACAAGGCACTTTGTTTATTTTAATAGTAAATATAATCTGGATTCCCCATATAATTTTTGGTAGGATGCTTGCACGTAACTTGCATTGTTGTTAAAATCAGCTAAACCCCTCCTACTACAGAATACACCTCAAGCGATGCCCTGTCGCCCATCGCTCAGAAACCGTTTCATCGCGACTTCAATGTTCAAAGGGATTTGAGGGCGGAGCTTGATACTAATCAGCCAATGATTGAACAAGTTTTCGGAAAAAAACCAAATAGGTCGCGATGCAACGATTTCCGCTGTAAAGCCTTGTAACTTCATTATTTTAAACATCTATTCAATATAACTTGATAAAAGGTTAGTTCTCTATTAGAGCTACCTTCCGTCTTAATTTTATCTCGGGGCATAGCCTTTTTGTATTCTGTGTCAGTTGAACATATCATTAGTAAGCTCATCAAAAGTATGTCTTAGCCAATCATGTTTGGAAATAGCTTGCCAATTACTGTCATTTTGTATTTGTAAAATACAGTAAAATCTCTCGTAAGGGACCACCTTGGGATCACTGAAAAAGTGGTCGCTTACGAGGGATGGTCGCTTACGAGAACGTTAGCACAGGAAACCCAAACAATGATAATCGCGAAACAGGAGGCCTAAATAGTTAAAAACACGTTCTTCGTATTTCAGTGTATAAAAATCTTTGAATAATTATACTGCTTCCATGCCAGTCCGCARATTCTTGAAGTTGTTTTTAATATCCCAATTCTATTGCTTTCAGTGGTGTATACACTATATAGTGTATTTGATACTAAATAGTTCGCTTTTACGTTTGTACTCTATTAAAGAAACCGTAAATGTAATTTGTGTAATCTTCTTAAGAGTGAATGTCAGCATGCATCAAACAAATTCAAAAATTCGTGGCAAGTGTAAAAAATTAGATTTCGCTCAAACTTATACTTGACCTTTAGTGATTATACTTACACGTTGTGTTTATCATTATCTCAACCGTTCTCTGGCTGAAAATGAAGTCCTAAAAACAAACTAGTGATTTTTGACAATTTTTTAAATTATTCACACTTTTGATAACGTAAAAAGTACTCCTATTTCCCACGTATTTTTCGTTATGACCGATATGGAGAAAACCCACAGGATTTCGTGCAGAGTAAGACCTTAGATTGGTCATCAAAGGTATGSAGGAAAATCTGTGTAAATGTTTTGTTTCTTCAAGCGAAGTACTCAAAGTTAGGAAAAATTTGCATATTTGCGAACTTGAAATCTACAAGTTTGTTTCATATGCGGCAGTAACGACTGAAAAACTCCGCTAAACTTTTTCAAGAACATAGTAATACTTGAAAGTAAAACCGGCAGAACATTTATCAAAACATTTTATACCCAATTTATGTATTTTTGATAATTTTAATGASAACGAAATTACATAGTGTACAATCCTAAAATCACCAACACATACTTTGTTGACATGATTCTCGAAGACAAATCCCATTGAATATTTTTAAGTTATAGATGAAAATAATACATTCTAATAGTAATAATAAAATTCCACGTTTTAAAAGAGAGCTAAGAAATATGCAGCCTAATTATCACTGTAAAACATTGATTTTTTTTTCTATTATAAGCTAACAGAATAATTAGTCAGGATCTTAATTATCGTTGTCATGATTATGACACTTATGCATAAAGACTATAAAATAACTTTGAATCGATGAAAATAATTTCTAAAGACTATTTTGTTAATGATATTATATATTGATTTATATTAGACTGATTCCATAAGTCGGTACCAGTTCCCTCTCTGTCGATTTTTTCTTTCGCTCAGCGACTTATGGAATCAGTCTTGATTTATATTATAAGGAGATTGGATATGGAAATACTTTACCCGCCAGGAACGCYTCTCCRATAATKYGGSTGTATAAAGACTGATCATTTTCGCGCGATTATCATTTGACTTATTCCTTTTGTCGGATTGTTTGCTTGGCCTTCCTGAAAAAAAAACAAAAAACAAACAAACTRCGGAACGAAATCTGCGACTTATGGAATTAGTTTAGATARTCCTGAYCTGTTTTCGCTCGTAATATATGGTATAGACTGATTCTYATAAGCCTACAGAATATTCATTCGTCCAGTAGCTGGAATTTTTACATGGSCACTTATCTAACAAAGATGCAAGGACGTTAATGTATGGCTTTTTTCGTTTAACTTTTATATGTGTCCAGTCCTTTCCAGTTTCTTGGTAGCRTGGTTCATACAGAGATCATAATTGTTGTATAAAATTGGCTGATGGATGGCTGTTGCGTCAACGACTTCTCGCTGAATCTCTTGTTAAGCAGATTCCCTCTCGGCGGCGAGTTATTTAGCCGAAGTAGGAGTAGCTTTTCTCTTAGCGGTTTCCCGAGAAAAGAAGCTTGCGATTTGTTGAGRGGAAAGGTAATCCTCAAGCAAAAACATAGGTTCGCTGCTGGATAGCCTCGCCCTACGCATTGACTGGGAAACAGCAGAAGGATCAGCTTTATGGCCCGTTTGGCTTCCAACGTTDTATATGTCAAGTAGAAAATATTTTTGCTTTTTCGAAAGACGCTTGTAAGATTTGGATGTCTTGAGGGSMCATCCCATACGTAGTTCCGATCCGCGCCTTGCTATGTTATCATCCTTTTCTAATGGTTGAGAGATTTGTGGAACAAATTCCAGCTAGATAAATGAATATTCTGTAGGCTTATGAGAATCAGTCTATACCATATATTACGAGCGAAAACAGGTCAGGATTATCTAAACTAATTCCATAAGTCGCAGATTTCATTCCGTAGTTTTTTTTTTGCAGGAAGCCCAAGCAAACAATCCGAGAAAAGGAATAAGTCAAGTGATAATCGCGCGAAAATGATCAGTCTTAATACACCCAAGTTATTTTATAGTCTGTATGCATATTTCTTAGCTACTATTAGTTACTATTAGAATGTATTATTTTCATCTATAACTTAAAAATATTCAATGGGATTTGTCTAGATTTCAAGTTCGCAAATATGCAAATTTTTCCTAACTTTGAGTACTTCGCTTGAAGAAGCAAAACATTTACACATCGATTTTCTTGCATACCTTTGGTAACCAATCTAAGGTCTTACTCTGGACGAAATCCTGTGGGTTTTCTCCATATCGGTCATAACGAAAACTACGTGTGAAATAGGAGTACTTTTTACGTTATCAAAAGTGTKMATAATTYAAAAAATTGTCAAAAATCACTAGTTTGTTTTTAGGACTTCATTTTCAGCCAGAGAACGGTTGAGATAATGATAAACACAACGTGTAAGTATAATCGCTAAAGGTCAAGTATTTTCGCTATACGAGGGCACAGAAATCACTCTTTGTAAACAACAAAAATTTGCATATTTGACCTCTCTCACACAAAAAATCTCGCAAACGAAAAAATATTTTTTAATAAAAACACCACTGATTCATCAGACATAATAAGGTACCAAATATGAARGTTTGAGCGAAATCTAATTTCTTACACTTGCCACTGTATGTCTGGTGTTTGCTGACATTCACTCTTAAGTAAATTAAACACATGCGTTTATTGCGTAACGACATGGCAGTCGAGGGTGGTCGCTTACGGGAGCCGGAAAAACCATGAAAAATTCCACAATTTCAACCCCAAAGGTGGTCGCGGTCGCCTACAAAAGTGAGAAAGTGGTCGCCTACGAGAGAGTTTTTTTACAGAGTTTATATGGGAAACAAAACGGGAAATTTAAAAGGTGGTCGCTTACGGGAGATTGTCGCTTACGAGAGTGGTCGTTCAAAGAGAGTCAACTGTATGTACTATGCGGCTAATCAGACTCATTCCGAATGACCAAAAATGTTGCAAAAATCAGTCCGAAATCTTTGTCAAAACTTATTCTCTTTGATGTCGGGGCAATAGAATGGCGTAGACCCCCTCTGTAAAAACATTTTATCAATAGCTCCATTGGAACTCTTTGAAAGGAAATTGATAGACAACAGAAGTTGTCCCTGTCACAAAAATATTAAGCCCGGATATAAGAAATTATTAGTTCTATTCGGACTGTCTCTGATTCACATGCAGCACTGATAATTTTCTCGTTAAAGGTCCCGAGCGTGAAGTCATTTTGTCTCTTGTTGAGGGTTAAATATAAACCTTTTTGTTTTGATTGAACATGGCCTCCGAGCGTGTAAAAATTAATAAAAATATTCATAGAAGTTTTCGAGTATTGTTTTTTTAAAANATGATTGGTTACAGAAATAAATGCCTTAACCAATCAGAATGCGGTATTGACTGATGTAAGATACCAGATATCTACAGGAAGCCCGAAACATACATCTTCCCTTGCGAAGTATTCCATTGTCTGTTTCCAGCTTGTTGGTTTCATATCACCTGSTTTCATATCTTTTGAACATGTTCTTTTATGTACGTCAGTTSATGAGAGGTTTATACCTATGRCACTRCGTTTCGTCGTTGTATAACATAGGAACTATGAGAATCACCAGGTACTTTGAGTGCAGTTATTTCAGTGTCGATTTTCATGTTGTAGCTTAAGTCCTTAATTTCTRTGGAAAATAAGTTAAATATTATGCATCTTWAGAAAATAGTAGTCTATGATGTAACTTAATAAATACCTTACCTTAATAATAATTATATCAGCTGTGGAGGACAGTGGCACGTRGAGTACCACTGTTTAATGGCAGAGTTTATCTGCCCAAAGCTAAAATACCTCTTGTTCVGAGAAGGTGATGTTTGAAAGTCATGTTGCAAAATGATGCAAGTTCGAGATAACAAAATCTGTACATTTATTTCTGCGCGACTCAGATCTACGTTTTTATAAGAATAGTGACTTTTCTATAGACGTTAATTTATACATGATTGTTTAATGAACACTATATTGTAGTGGAAAGTGCTGCACACATTTAATGTTTGTACTCCCCCTATTTGAATATTATTTCTAGTCATAAGCTTAAACAATGTGGTTTATTCAAACTTCAGACTGTTTTTACATGGTGTAAGCCAGATATTGCGGACAAGCCTAAGCAGTTATCTGTATGACTGGAAGTGATTCTTAAGGTGAAAAGTTTTTGCTTTTTTTTAATATGTGGTATCTAGTTGTTTATGTTAGCTGTTGAAAATAACTGAGCTAATTGGGAATTGATTGAAATTGTAACAGCATCATGATCGGAATAGTAAACAGGCAATATTGAGGATGTGATGGTATTATTATAAGTTTCTCTTACATAAACATGATCAAGTAGACTTCCAGAAGATATAAATGTTGGACTTTTTACAATCTGAATGTAGTTTAATGATTCCATCAATGTTTCAAGTGGTTTGTGTTCATTTTGATTGTAAATGTTAATGTTGAAATCACCTAGAATTATGTCAATATCATAATCAATTAATACATTTCTAATATTATGAGTATATTGTAAAATGTTCAAATTTTTTTTTCTGTAAAGTAATATTATAGATTGCTTTATATTAACTATGTGATTAATGAGCACAAATTTCATTGCATTTAAAACAGGGAGATATTCATATTCCTTGATTTCAATGTAGTTTTTAGTGCATAGCGCTAAACTTGAGAATCTGTCTGAAGAATGATCTTGCCTTAGTAATGTGAATTGTGTTCTTTGTATTTCAGGTGAGGATGGCTTGTTAGGTCTGACCTTAATTTTCACCAAGATCGGTTCTATAGGTACTACTTTGTGTTGTTTGGCATATTGATTATTACCATTATTCATCTTGTTTTCTCCTGCTTTGTTATCATCAAACTTGATGTATATTATTGAAGGTTTTTGAGTGTTCGGATTGGTATCTATTTTGAGTACAGTACCAATTTGACCATTGATTAGCCTGTCTGCAATGTCAATATTAGATGTAAGCATTACTCTTGCAGTTTCTTTCAAATGGAATTCATAATCTAGTCCACCTGTTTCAGATCTTCCTCTCGACAATACTCTGTCAATATCTTTCTTGTTTACATTGTTAGGATATTGATCAGTTGCTCTCACAATAAACATTTTGTCTAATTTCGTTCTGTTGTGCTCATCTACTGGCTTATTTTCTGCCCATATATGTAAAGCATCTGATGGATAATTAATATCTGTTGGACTAATTTATCTTGACTGAATAGCCTCTATGTCTTCATCTGTTTGAGTTCCTGTTCTGAATCTGTTTAGCATTGCAGTAAATGCTTGATCATTTTTCTGTCTCATTATTTCTGTCAGCTCAATCATTTTAAAGACATGCCAG